CATATCTTCTTGCTTAAATTAAAGTAGTTAAGACTTCACAGTTGATAGCATTGCTTGATTGCTTAATCATGTAACATTTCTGTCTCATTGGGCTGTTATATCAAACCTTTATATGCTGTTCTCTTTACATGAAGCAATAGTGACATCCAGTGACTAAACAGATAAATTAATCACAAGTTTATATGCCCATAGACTGCTATTTCTCTCTCTGAAAAAGAATTTCACAAAATGACAGTAAGTGAGTCTGCTTTTTGGAAAGCTGGACCCATGTGGCAATGGCTGTTTAAAGTAGCTGTTAAAATGCCATATAAAATTTCAAAATATTAGATTATAACAATTAAATGCTGAAGCATCACATATGATATAGACCATTCATCTGTAGAAACCAAGGCAACAATGTAAGGATATAAAAAACTTATGAGCAATTCAGAGGCTTGAATTCATTGATCTAATTAAAGATGATAGCATTACAAAGACTCTTAAACTTGAGAGAGAGAATCTCACAGATTTTCTGCATAATCTGTAGTCTTTTCAGCTGCAACAGGAGCAAATGTTAAAAGTGATAACGCTTATCACACAGTTATATTTTACTGTAGCAAATATATCAATTTACAACAAAGGTTACAGTCCTGGAATTTTGCAGGGCGTTGTCCTGAGGCTGAGTTTTGACTTCAGGTTTTAGAATGACTAGGATAAAAAAGTGATTAGTGATTTGAGAATCTCTGCAGTTCTCAACAAGGGAGCTTATGTGATGTTGGGCAGCCTGGAAAGGCTGCTGCAGGTCAAAGTAGCCCTCAGTTTAGTGCCTGCCAATGCAACACGCAATGGTGCCTACAGACTGCCTTTAGAAAACCTTGCTCTCTCCTATTTACTACAAATATCTCTCTTTCAGTCTGCATGATTCAACCTTTTTGTCATTTTACCTCTTTTCCTTACACCTACATCTTCTATTACAAAAGTCCTCCTTCAAATGTCTCCTTAAGGTACATTTCTTTAAATCCTGTTGTCCCCATGATAGAGTGTAAAAAAGTTTTGATTACAATAGAATTTTTAATTGATGTTACACACACACACACACACACACACACACACACACACACACACACACACACACACACACTTGCTTATTTACACTGTTACATACCTTCTGTTCTTTTCCTTGCTCTTATATTGCCTACATAGAATGAAGGCTCCATGGGAGGAGGAAATGTCTTTTTATAAGCCTGCAAAGTGTATATGAAAGAGGAGAATGAGCAGGGGAAATGTTCAAAGGGTGTGTCTACATGTGTGCCAGACTACACAGTCATTTAGTACTTGCTTAAGGAGAAGAGCTTGCTGGGCAGAAGAGCATTCCATCCTTTTACTCTTTGTAGCAGGGGCTGGGAAGCGGGACACAGCAGGGGCATAGACCCCACGGGAGGGGCTATGCTGGGGAAAACTGCACCCAGGAGGACACAGATGAGCAGTGTTGTCCTGGCCCGTTGGCTGCAAGCCCTAAGCCTGAAACTCACCCAGCAAGGTCTGGGAAAGCCCCACTGCCCGACACATTAAGGGAGGATGCCAGGAGGCATGGGACTCACCTAGCAGGGGCTGGACAGATTGCATGGCTGGGGAAGCATCGGGGGAGGGAGACTAACCTGGCAGAGTCCCAAGCAGGCAGTGCTTCCCCAGCACACTTCAAGGAGCTCCAGGGGAGGGAACGGGGGCCATGCACCTGGCCCCAGGAGCACATGACCCGAAGGCCTGTGCTGATTGATCCTGGGAAAGCCCAGGAAGCTAAAAGAGGGAACGCCAAGAGAAGCTCAGCATTCAGCATGGAGGAAAGGAGGAGACGCTGCAGCCAGATGGAGAGAAGGACTCCCAGGCAGCCAGGATCCAATCAGCTGAACCTGGTGGGATGCCAGGGAGACTGTGTAACTTAAAATTGCTCAAATTAAGAGCGAGATCTTAAAAAGGGGATAAGGCAAAATGCCATGTTTATTGGTTACATGGAGCAGATACATAAGCTTGGACACACCAGTCATACAAACAGACATACACAAGCATACATAGACAGACCTACAGAAAAAAAACACTCCAGTAAGATTTTATAGTTACCAGCAGATATTACTCAATATTAGCACTGGATGGCCGGGTCCAGGCTTATTGAGGGTGATAGGAGCAGGGGAAGAAGAGACATGCATGCCTGCGCTCCATGAGGTTGCAGAGAGTGGATTCCCCACCTTGGCTTGTCTACATCCCACTTTTATAGGGATTTCAAGTCTTTGTTCAGCATTGGGGTTTTTCCATGCTCAGTCTTTAATGAGAGGTTTATCAGTTCAATAGTATTATCATTTACACACAATAAATAAAGCAAAAATTCATACTACAACTGCTACCCCGAGTAAGAAGCCAACACTACCAATGGACCAGATAAGTACAGCCGGATGACAGGGGACTTATGGGTATACCCATCGGTTAAGGAACTGGGGACACAGGGAGGAAGAGTACTCTAGTGAAAGAGGGTTA